ATACTCCTGATTTTTCAAATGAAGGTCCTTCTTTTAAATCATGCATGTATAACTGCAGAGGGCACAGTAGTCAAACTAGTTTTATTGACATGTAAAGTGAAAGGATTCTATAAACAATGCAGGTAGTAGCCCCATCAAATTTACTCATTTAAAAAAAAATCGCCATTGCGTAATACCTATTAAAAACGTGGGAAAGTTTGAAGATTGCTTCAGTTACTGATTCCACATACCTCCATTATAATTCCTACCACACTATTACTGCAACCACTTAGCAGCTAATTATTATCAAGATTGCTCAAGAGTTTTCTTCCTGAATGGAACTTTCTTCTTTGAGGAAGTGATGCCATCTTACCTTTCAATGTGAGGCTCATACATTCTCTTTACTAATTCTGAAGCAGAGAATTATATCCTGTCACCATTTGAGACTTTCCAAAATCTGATTTGTATGGTTAACAGCATTCAACTTAATGATAGAAAGCTTGAAAGTCAGAAAGGGTTGATTAAAACTTGGACATGTCAGGTAACAAAGGAAGATATTAGACATACCTTTTCAGATTATTTCAATTTAATCTCCACAATTAAAAATCTGTTAATAAAAATAAATTATAAATTTCATTTACTCTTTAAGCACTAAAATAAAAATTATTTTTTTCTCTGAGTGCTGATTTTAAAGGTGTGAGCCACCACATCAGACAAAGTAAAAATTCAGTTCGACAAGAAATAATATTCTCTACAGTATCACACTTAAAATGTACATTCAATTATTCATAAATAATTTGGAAAAAAAACACTGTTCAATTAATTCCACATCATTATCCACTTTTTATATGCCAGGTACTTTGCGAGGCACCAGCAATGAACTCAGAAATGAAACACTACTTTAGTTTTACAGGCGAAAACCACGAACAACCACCACCATGTGATTTCTATAACAATTTTATAGTGGCGGTGGGTACGGGCTACTTTGCAAATTTAAATGAAAGAACGCAGACAATGGTGTAATCCTAGTATTCAGAAGGCATAAACAGGTTTGAAGCTAGCCTGGACCAGAGCGAGAGCCTCTCAAAATGAAAAAAAAAAAGTGAAAGTGTGTGGACAGCTCAACCCATCCAATAAACTAAAAACCATTTTTCAAAACAATGTCTCGCTCTATCATCCCCGTTAGCCTTTAATTTCAATCATTTGCCTCAGCTTCCTGAGTGTCGGGGTTACAGGTATATTACAGTATGTCTTGCCCAATAACTGAGCTTCCTTCCTCCACTTCTGTGTATGCATGTCCCCATGTGCAGGTACGTGCATACAAGTGGAAGTCAGAGGACAACCGCAAGTGTCATGGCTTCGGCGCTGCCTACTTTGTTTCTGAGACAGCGCCTCTCACTGGGCTGGAGCTTGCCAAGCAGGGCTAAGCTAGCTGGCCAGTGAGCGGCAGCCTGTTGCTGCTGCTGCTGCAGATTGGGACCGCAAGCTTGCACCACCAGACCGGCTTTTAATGTGGGGTCCCCGGACCCCAACACAGGTCCTCACGCTAATAAAGCAAGCAATTTGGTCACTGAGTTCTCTCTCCCGCCGCTCTGAAGGGGCTTTGAGACAAGGTCTTGTTACGAAGTCCTGGCTGGCACAGAACTTTATATAGAGACCAAGATGGCCTCAAACTTGTAGCTTTCTCTGTCTCTGGAGTGCTGGCTTACAGGTATGTGCCACCAGATCTGGCTTCTGATAACTGAACTTCTTAAACATTTCACATATAGTTCAAACATCAGGCACATGATAAAAGCCTGCTTAACGCCAATGATTCTTTATAAAAAATTATACCACGGAGGCTAAGAGTGCCAATCAGTGGTGGGGTGCTTGCTTTCACTAGGCAAAGTCCTAGGTTGGATTCCCAAACCCACTTCTAAAGTCACCTGTATACATAACAGAGCTAAACTTGGGCAGACCTACCAAACACTGTTCAAAGTCTCTGCACATGTGAATTCATTCTGTCCTCATAACAGTATGGAGGAGACATTGCTACTGATACCATTTCATAGATCAATATCCAGTTAGCCTGGCTAAAAGCACACAGACTTGCAGGACCCGAGTCAAGAGCCTTTTCATTTTGTTTTGGTTTTAGTTTCTTTGTTGGTTTGCCTGTCTGAGACAAAGTTCCACTATAGTCTGCATCCTGGACTAGGTCATCCTCCTGCCTCAGCCTCCCTGGCAGATGGGCTCCTGCTAAGCACTAGCAGCCTTGTTCCAGAGCCCTGCTCCCCGCCCTCCACTCCGTGTGTATGGTGTGCAGATGCACGTGTGTGGAGGTCAAAGGTTGACATCACGTATCTGTCTCATTCTTTCTACATCTCTTTATTAAGCTAGGGTCTCTTGCTTGGACCCAGAGCCTGCCTGCCAACTTGGCTAGTCTAACTTGCTAGTTTGCCCCAAGAGTCCCTGTCTCCCCCTCCCAGTACTGGGGTTACAGGAAGGCTGCCACATTTTTGTGGGTGCTGAGAATCTGAATTTAGAAAATGGCCTACCAACTGAGCAATCTCCCCAGCCCCTGGGGCTTCACTATTAAATACCACACAGACACCTATCTTCCAGCGATGATGTAGTCTATTGCAAGCATCTTATTAATCCTTGAAAGAAAAAAACTTTTAAAGAGGATTCTTTCTGGAGAAAACCACTACAGTCCAGATTGTTGGAAATTTGTCCAAGGTCACAGAGCCAGTGAGAGGCAGTGACAAAATTCAAATTCAGACAGCAGGATTCCCTGTGCTATGTGGCTTCACCCTCATGAAAAAAGTCACATGGTAAATTTACTAAAAAATTCAAAAAGTCTTTGTGTGAGTCTTCCTGAAACACACTGAAAGGCCTGGGAGCTGGTGACAAGCATGTCTTTAAAACAGCATTTTTACATGTAAGTTACTTTTCAGCTTCACCACTTTGGACTGATCATAACCACATTCCTGCTCTTTAAAAAGAAATCTTTCTGTAGCAACTTGGCAGATTTCAGCACAGGAACAGTCTATTCTTTAAAATTAAATTTAGTAACAACTTATTCTGGTTAGTCTGAAAGAGAAGTCGAAAACGAACTACTAAGAGGCCAATGCTGTACTTTAATATTTCAAAACATGTCTGGTTTGGCCTAATTTAAATCTTGTGGACAACTAGCATAGAACTCGATTTAAAGAAAGCAATACGAACTTAAAACTACTGAATTCTAAACAGCAACCTCAGAATCCAGGTCGGAGCAACCATATCTTATCATTCTTTTACCTCAAAATAAACATTAAAGATCCATAAGGTAAGATTCTCATGAAGCAGATAACTAGGTGTAGGTATCTGTAGTTTGGAGGCACTTAAGATAGAGAACCCAAATTCAAAATTGACGAAATTCTGTAGAGTAACGTTGTTTAAAGAATAGTCAAGAATACAAAAGGTATACCAAAAGAAACAAAATCTAAACTGCTTTTCAATCCATACAGCTCTGCACCGTGTCCAGTGACTGAGAAAGACACAATTCTGTGTTGTAATGCCTCCCTAGAGCAGAGGAAAACTGAAGTGGACATACCCTGCTGGATTCCCATCTTACCTTGCTCTCCTCCAACAGGTTCAGACTTCATAACCTTTAATACCAAATTCACATTTTTTCCGAAGAAAACCCATAAAAATGCTTCAAAATAAAAGCACTAAGCAATGCCACTAGGCAACCAGTCTTCTCCTCCTCTATTACCATGCATTCAAATTAAAAACACCTTTTGCTTTGCCTTCATTGAATGAAAGTTAACTTTGATTTAGAGGAAAATGTGCCCATTAGGCATTTTACACTTTTCGCAGGACACTCAGTCTATCAGATCACATCGCTGACTATTACTGCTCACTTAGGCATTCAAAAGACAGAAAGCATGCCAGCACCAATTATTTTACAAGCGGCATAATGCCCCGCTGGTGGAAGTCTGGCAATACCTACATGTACAGCAAGACAGGAGAAGGAGGGCGTCAAGGGCGGGGGAAGAGCGAGCGAGGGAAGGAGGGAGTCGCCTCCTCAAATCCACGCCGGACCGGGAACCTCCAACCACAACCTGATTCCTACCCTTCCCAAAAGTGGCCCGGCAACCACATTTTTTTTCAGACCACCCCACCCAAAATCCCGCGCCGTACTCACCTTCCGCGAAGTGGTGGGCGCCGGGTCCAGCTCCCGGGCGGGTCGGACGGCGCGGCGAGCGGGCGTCGGTCGGAGCGTCCCTCGGTGCGGGACCGGGAACCCGACGGGTGGGAGCGCGGAGGAGCGGGAGGAGGAGCGGGATGGGGGCGCCCGCTCCTACCGAGCCCGCGGGGACTCCACGGCTGCCCCGCGGAGGAAAGCCGACCGGGTGATGGACTGACTGTCGGGGGACCGGCGGGGACGGGCGAGGAGAGCTAAAGGGGCGAGACCGCGCGCGGGCTGGACGGGAGACGGCAAGAAGCGGCCCGGGGTCTAGCCCATGCCGCGGCGGCCTGGGGGCAGAGGCTGGCTGAGGGGAAGTTGCCGTGGCTGGCGAGATGCGGGAGGAGGGCGCACCGGGAGGAGTACAGCCAGCCAGCCATGGATAGCGGGGCGCCGAGAGCAGGGGCGGCCGGCGGCGGGGAGCACCGCCCGCTCGGCTCGCTCAAGACATTTAATTGGATTGATGGGTTGTGCAGTGACTCACAGACTTTAAAGAGTCCTAGGGCAGTCCCCGCCCAGCTGGACCGGGAAGAAGCGGCGGGGCGGGCGGGGTAGGGGGCCGGGGAGAGCCGCGAGGGAGGAGGCGGCGGGGCGGGAGCGCAGCGAGGACGCCCAGTGGCAGGGCGCGCCGCCTTGACGGGCGTGACCGTCCACCAATGGCGGTGGGGCTCGCTAGGTGGCTGGCTTCGCCCCTGGCCCAATGAGTCTTCTAAGGACACTGTCGCGCACCGGGCGGGGGAAGGGATGGGGGTGGGGAGAGGTGGGTGGACGTTGAGCGGGGGGAGGAGAAAAGGAGCCGCGGGAGACCCGCGGAGTCACTCTGCCCTCCTCGTTCTGGAAGTGCGCTTTCCACCAATCCGAGCGCCACGTGGGGGTGATGGATGCCGGCCCGTGGCCAATGAGGAGGAGAGGCTGGCGGCGAGGAGTGGGCGGGCCCGCGCTCTCGCTCCCTCCTCCCGCGCGGTCCTCCAGCCCTCCCGGCCCGGGTCAGTCACGCAAGTAACCGTGTGAGAGCGGGGCCGCACGGGGCGGGGCCGCGCGGGGCGGGGCCGCGCGGGGCGGGGCGGGGCGGGGCCGCGGGCGGCGTAACCCGGACCCGCTGGAGGGGCGCGCGGGCGGGTCCCTTGCGGAGCCTGCAGGCAGACCCTGCTGCCAAGCCCACTTTCCGGGCGGTCGGATTCCGAGGGGATCTGATCCAAACTTGATCCGCGTCCGCGCAGCGCCCGCTCCTAAAACAGGCCGGTGTGAAGTCCGGTGGGCATGTGCACTGAGATTTGAGGAGGCAAAGACACGAGGCGTGGCGATCACTTCGGCCCAGGATTCGCCCGTTTTGTGGGGAAGTCACCTAGGGTGTGGACAGGTTGAAACAGCTCCTCCGTACACACGTTCCTTCATTGGGTTTCTGGAAAGGGCACTTCTTAACCTGGCGTGAACGACTCTTCGGGCTTTGCAGTACTTGTGTGTAGCTTAGCTTTCTCCGCATGCCCCTCTGCACTCTCCCACCTCCTCACCTTGAACCCTAAGGCAGTGCCTCGGTGCTTTGGTACTCATTCCCAGAAGCTATGGTGTGTCTCAATACTTTGGCTACTGTCCAGTAATCGCTTCACAGACTTTAACCCTTTGCGTGCACTAGTACTTGAAGGAAGTCCCCAGAAACAAACACACTGGCAAAACCCATCTTCTTACCCTACAAAATGCATTGTTTGTTTTGGGTGTTGTTGGAGACGGGGTCTTGTTACCTATCCCTGGCTGTCCTGCTGCTTGCTGTGTAGCCCAGGCTGGACCTTACACCTGTTTCATCCCTGCTGCCTTGGCGTCTTCAGATTCAGAGGTGATTTCCTGAGGCTTAAAACAATTTGCATTCCTATTCAAATCTACCTCGAATATCCAACATCCGTTTCTGACAAAGTCCAGTACTAGTGAGACAATGTTGCTGTAGGTTTCTAAAGTAAGATACAACCCCCAACCCAGATAACTGAAATCCACAGTGGTCTGGAAATCAGAAAAGAGAGAGATGAGGGCAAAGGTTTGCTCTAGTCACATTGGGGCCTTCCTCAGTTGTGGTCTGTTTAGGATACAGACCGTTCCAGGGCAGAGTTGTGACATGACCCTAATCCATGATTTCTTTCAGCAGCCCAGAGTCTGCTAATGAAAATGAGCTGTGCCAGAAACTTCTTGAAGCACACAACCTGTGTATGCATTTTCTCTTAATGGGTTGAAACCACTTTGGAGCTATGCAGGGCAAGGGACCCAGCATTGGTAGTAGGTGAACAGTATTGGTCAGGTCAACCTATGAAAAGTTAAACCAACCAGATCTCTCACAGTGGCAGAAACGCTGTGTTTCTAATCTGGGTTACTGTACTACATTTTATTTTATGCCTATGACTGTTTGATTATATGTATTAATGTGTGTTACATTAGTGCCTGGTACCTGTGGAAGCCAAAAAGAGGGCATTAGATCCCCTGGAACTGGAGTCAGAGAAGGCTGCTCACAACTGTAGGTGCTGGGAACCAAACCTGGGTCCTCTGCAAGAGCAGCAAAGCGCTCTTAACTGCTGAGCCATCTCTCCATCCGGCTGATGTTATATATAAAACCTTTTTCTTATATGAGGTCATTTTATAGATAGGTGACTATAATGAATTATTCTATATACCATACTAAAAGCAGATTTTTGACTATGTGGAAGATCCTCAAATAAGGATTAGCATCTTGTGGTAGAAGAGCTATGGCTTACCTCCAGTCCTTACTGTGTGTCACGTTAGAATTCTGTGCCCTCCCTCTTCCAACATTTCTTAAAGTGTGGAAGGCCCACTAGATTCCTGGGTCCCCTCTCAGGTCTAGAGGTTATTTGCTGCTTCAGCAAATAGCTCAAGTGACCTGAATATTAAAATACTAAACACTTCATTGGAAACCTCTGTTTATTCCTGTCTTTATTCTTTTCCTCTCACATCCATTTCTCTCATGTCTTCTACTTTAGATCTTTTTGTGATCACTTGCATATTTCCTGTGCTCAAGTCTGACAGGAGACTGTTGTGTGACGCTGTTCTTGAGGAGACAGTAACAAAAGTCTAATTACCCAGAGCAAATCAAAGTAACACTATCATTCATGTCCAACTTGGTGAACTAATGAATTTCTTGGGGTTTCTTACAAGAGTATGGATAAGGGATGACTTACAGGAATGGATTACTCAAGGGCAATTATGTTACAAAAGTCCCACTCCAGCTTGGGTGACAGCTCATAGCTGAAATCTTGGGGCTCCCTGCATGACTCGCTTAACAGCTCCTTCAGTCAGAGAGTCTTTCTCCTCCTCAATCTTTACTGCTTTTATAACCTTGGGGAGGGAGAAGCCTTGTGAATCTGGTATGTTTTGGGGACTTCTGAGACTTGTGAGTTGTTTACTTCCTGTCTTAATAAGCCTCCCTTTAGAACTTCCTGAACTCTGAGGAGCTTTGTAAAGGTCCATAAGCTGACAGTGGGAGGTGTTCACCACAGCAGTGCTTGTAGCAGTGTGGTTTGGGCAACCTTACTGATGCTGTTGAGGTTCACCTCTAATTCAAATGAGCTAGTAGGTTTTCAGCGCGCGCGCGCGTGCGTGCGCGCGCGCACACACACACACACACACACACACACACACACACACACACACACGCTGTGGCTCTTCTGTCTACATTCCTCGACAGTTTCTACTGCCACGGCTTCCCCTCCATTTCCTGGTGCTCCCTTTCCAATTTTAAAGAGTGGGTGCAGCCGAGCGGCAGCTCTAACGTGGAGCAGTCCTGCCGCTCTGCGGCCCCTCCTGCCCACTCCTGCTTCCTAGTTAGAAACAGCCAAGCAGCCCAGGATTTTTAAAAGCTTTATTTCAAGACTAGCCCAAACATGTTTACGTCTGTGGTGTTGTACACGTCTTAGAAAGTGTGGGTGCTGGTCATCACCACAGTGATAAGCAATGGCTACAGCGGTGGTATCCGCCGGGAGCTGGGAAAGCCGTAGACACAAAGGCCTTTTAAAGCTGGCCCAAAGGGAGAGAGAATTAGCCGTGGAGAGTCAGACTAGACAGCAGGTGCATTCCCTTCTGAAATCAGGACTGACTGATTGACAAGTGAAATTGTCACCAGGCAGTTTGGGGATAGATTCAGGGTGCTGCTTACCAAAGGCAAGGGTGGGTGGTGGAGAAAATGTCTCTTACAGTGTTTTACCAGCACTATTAGGGTATATATCTCTCCTCCACAGGCAAGCTGAAAACAGTCATTTCCCACAAAGGAACATCCAGAATCACCCCGCTGGTTATGGATCCTGCTGCTTTAAAAGCTGGGCTCTGCTGATTCTGTCCTTAATGGCTCATTACTGGCATACTGAACTCTGACCTTTAGTAATGGCTACAGCTTCGTGGCCCTCAGATGTTCATATGCAGGAGCAGGCCTACGCCTAAGCTGGGAGTTCTCCAGAAAGGTACATGAAGTGATTAAGACGAGCTGCCTGTACCCCTTCCTGGTGGGCTGAGAAACTTCAGGCAGCCCCACTAGCTATGGGTCCCCCAAATCCGCAGAAGCCAGGCTGGGATCCTGTAGAGATGATTTTTGGAAGCACATTTCTCAGGCTTCCCACTTACAGTCTCCACTGCGCATCACCACTTTACGATTCTGGATCACTACCGTTCACAAACGTAACCTAAGAGGACCAGTGTCTGCACTTCTGCCCTCCCAGGGTCTGTGTGGGCTCCATCCTTACTGCGTTTGCACATCGACTAGGGACAGCTTTGCTATTCCTGCAGGTCCGAGGCATCGGGGCCCTTGACTGTACTGTGCTCATGTTAACAACAGGCATTCACTCAGGACTTATCTGCTCCCCTCCACTGGGAGGTGTGAAAATAAAGTCAGGGTAGGATCTGAACCAAGTGTATAGGCTTCCTGTAATCTGTTGTAACTTTGGAGAAAAACAATAGCAAAGAAGAAAATTACCCTATTATCCAGAAATAGCTATTAAATATTTGGTCTATATGTAGTTTTAGATGTCATAAATATTTCTCATATCATTGAATATAATTTTTGAAAAAAAATATTTTTATTTTGTTCTGAGATAGTCTTGTAGCCCAAGCTGGCCTCTAACTCACTTATGTAGCTAAGAACACATGCACCACCTACTCAGCTTCTAGAACATGATTCTTAGTTTTTGGTACTTGTGATTGAAACCATGGCCTTGCTAGTCAAACACTCTCCTACTAAGGACATCCTTGGCCTCAACTCTGTTTTTTAAGGTGACTATCTGGCTGTGGGTGGTGTGAACGAACAATTTTGGAGAGGAAGATCTGCCAACAGAGGACTAGTCAGGAGATAAATCAGGAATCTCGAGGAGCTGGCTGGAGATCTGTGCTTGGAAGACAAGGAGTGACTCGGTCAAGGTTATCTCAGAAAAGACAGTGTTAGATGAAAAAAGCAGGATTCCGCTTATTTGTGGTTTAAGCACAAGCAGGGCTAAACATGTTCTTAGAAAGCCACGTGTCAGCATTCAGTCAAGTTGGGTGTGTTCCCTGTGCCTGCGTTCCTACTTACCATGGAAGGCTGGCTCACCCAGGACGATCACAAGATCAAGGCCAGCCTAAGCAGCACAGGGAGACGCTGTCTCAAAGCTAATATTAAAAAAGAAAAGGGGTGGGGGCAGGTGGTTGTGTGGCTCAGTGGGTAAAGATACTGATACCAAGCTTGACCGCTTGATCCCTAGGGCCCACGTGGTAGAAGAAAACCAACTACTTGCTACAAGTTGTCCTATAACCTGTGTGCCATGGCACATGCAAACCTATACGTACATACATACATACACACACACACACACACTAAGTAAATAAATAGATGACAGATAGATAGATGACAGATAGATGGAATAAAATTGAAGGTTTTTAAAGAGAGAGAAAGGGGCAGGTAGGGAGAGAGCTCAGTCAGGAGAGTGCTGGTGTCTAGAGTGCTTGCCTCAAAAGCACAAGGACCTGA